TATATATAAATGTTTTGTATCACTATTCCTTAAAAGTTCCATAGTTTAGTTTTGTTTGTTCTTGAACTTTACATAAATGAAATTATATAGTTGTGTGTCTAGCTTTTCCTACCATAATATCAGTTGTTTCTGTTGTTTGTTCCTTTCTATTATTGAATAATGTTCTGTTAGATGATTATATCATAATTTGTCCATTCTGCTGATCAGCATTTGGGTTGTTTCCAGTTTCTGCTTATTATGAGTAAGATTTCTAAACACTATTATACAAGTCTTTATGTAGCAAATGTTCTCATTTCCTTTGGATAAATACCTAGGAACAGGCCAGGTATTTATGGTGGTGCATTCCTGTAATCCCAGCATTTGGGAGGCTGAGCAGGAGGATTGCTGTGATTGTCAGGCCAATCAGGGCTACATAGCAAGAGCCTGTCTCAAAAACATAAACAAAACCCTAGGAACAGAATTGCTAGATCATGTCATAAATAACATATAACTAAAAAGAAAATGCAAACTGTTCTCCAATAAGTTGGACCATTTTACTTTCCTTCCTCAAATAGCTGACCTCTCTAATTGCCCTGCTAACTTTTGCAGATCTCAGTCGTCAGTGTTTCTGCATGTCTCATCTAGTCATGCTTAACCTGAGCAACGTTAGTTTTCACTCACCATCGTACTTTGTCATTGGCTGCTGTATTTGTTGGTAATACTTAGTGTGGCACTTCCTTCCATACTAGTTTCTTCTGTTTTATGTCGTATTATTGCTAGTTGTGAATCCTCTCTTGAAAAAGGTTAAAAAAAAAAAAAAAAAGAAAAGAAAAGAAAAAGGTTGTTGGCAAGGTTGAATGGCTTCTTTTGCATCTCTGTAGTATATAGGGCTCTGTTAGGTTTAGGATCAGCATATATTGTTATATATAACATTGGATGTACTGCCAGGCCAGAGTGATCATATTTAAGCAAACAAATCCCGACTGACATGATAGACCAAGAATATTTGGTAAACTGGGCACATATACTCAGCTATTTGGGAGCCTGAAATTGTTGTAATTTAAAAAAATTTTTTTTTTTTTAGTTTCTTTGAGACATGGTCTCACTGTGTAGTCCAGGCTGGCCTCAAACTGCCAGCAGTCCTCCTATCTCAGCCTTCTGAATGCTGGAATCGTAGGTGTGTGCCACCACACCTACTAGGAAGCTGAAAATCTCATATGTACAGCAACGAAGGGAAGGGCATGCGTAGCCTTCATCAAGCTTCAAGAATTACCATCTCATGGACAGTCTTATTTTACTTGTACTCACAAAACTGTCCTTACCTGGCTTTCCAAAGAGAACAGTAAGCTGGGCATGGTAGTACACACCTATAGTCCCAGCTCTCTGGAGGCTGAGGGAAGGGATCACAAATTTATGCCAGCTTGAAAGACATAGTGATACCCTCTCTCAAAATAACAAACAAATTCTTGGGAGGATTAAATGTGGTGACGCATGTAAGACTCTGGGCATGGTTTCCCTTCCATATAATGTATAGTAAATTTGACTAATTACAAAATGATCTCAGTACATTTAGCTCTTCCACAAATATTTATTGGCTGCTTATATCAGGAAGTATGCTTTATGTTTGGATTAGGAAGATAAACAGTCTTTATAATTCAGGAAATTAGGGCGGGGAGATGGCTCTGTGGATTAAGTGCTTCCCTGGTAAGCGTAAGAGCCTGAGTTCAATCCCCAGTTCCAC